CCCCCCTGAGAATAGTCAGTCCACTTCCTTTCTATGCCCCTGATTCTATTATATTCACCAGTTTATTCTGTTCATCAGATTATTTATTCACTTGATTTTTAGATTCACTTGTTGATAGATGTGTATTTGTTGTTCATAATTTGTATCTTTACCTTTTTCTTCTTCTTCCTCTTCTTAAAGGATACCTTTCAGCATTTCATATAATACTGGTTTGGTGGTGATGAACTCCTTTAGCTTTTTCTTATCTGTGAAGCTCTTTATCTGGCCTTCACTTCTGAATGATAGCTTTGCTGGATAAAGTATTCTTGGTTGTAGGTTCTTGGTATTCATCACTTTGAATATTTCTTGCCATTCCCTTCTGGCCTGCCAAGTTTCTGTTGAGAAATCAGCTGACAGTCGTATGGGTACTCCCTTGTAGGTAACTGACTTTTTTTCTCTTGCTGCTTTTAAGATTCTCTCTTTGTCTTTTGCTCTTGGCATTTTAATTATGATGTGTCTTGGTGTGGTCCTCTTTGGATTCCTTTTGTTTGGGGTTCTCTGCGCTTCCTGGACTTGTAAGTCTATTTCTTTCACCAGGTAGGGGAAGTTTTCTGTCATTATTTCTTCAAATAGGTTTTCAATATCTTGCTCTCTCTCTTCCTCTGGCACCCCCATAATTCGGATGTTGGTACGCTTGAAGCTGTCCCAGAGGCTCCTTACACTATCTTCGTATTTTTGGATTCTATTTTCATTTTGATTTTCCGGTTGGGTGTTTTTTGCTTCTTCGTATTTCAAATCTTTGACTTGATTCTTGCGATCCTCTAGTCTGCTATTGGGAGTCTGTATAATATTCTTTATTTCAGTCAGTGTATGCTTAATTTCTAGTTGGTCCTTTATCATAGCCTCGAGGGTCTCATTAGATTTCTTGAGGGTCTCATTAAGTTTATCGGCGGTTTCTAGAAAATTCTTGAAAAACCTTAATAATAAATATATTTTTATTGATTCCAGAGAGGAAGGGAGATGGAGAGAGAGAGATAGAAACATCAATGATGAGAGAATCATTGATCGGCTGCTTCCTGCACGCCCCCTACTGGGGATCAAGCCCCCAACCCAGGCATGTGCCCTTGGCCGGAATCAAACCTGGGACCCTTCAGTCTGCAGGCGGATGCTCTATCCACTGGGCCACACCGGCTTAGGGCTCCAAGCCTTGTTTTTGACTTTGGAGGAGCTGACATCGGTGGGACTGAGGGAGACCACCTTGCTCCCACTGTGGGGCGGGGCGGCAGTAAGTTAGGAAGGGACCGAGGGACCGAGTGGGAAGCAGGAGGGAGGGCGTGAGCTGCCCTGCAGTCTTCAGGAAGGAGACCTGACTGCCTTTGAAGATCGCTATCACCACCTCATCTCTCTTCGGGCTGTCAGGTGACTTCTCTCAGCGACTGAGCCATGGCTCGGGGCCCAGAGGGAGCAGGGTGAACGAAGCTGTGATCAGAGAGATGCTATCTCCTTCCTGTTTAACATCGACTTTCCTGTCAGATGAGTCACATGTGCCCGCGTGGTGCCCACGGCCGAGGCTCTGAGAACTCACCAGGGTGGTGGGAGTGGGCCCGGAGGCAGACAGAGAACTGGGAGGACGGGGATGTGGGCAGCGGGAGGAGCAGGAGGGCTGTTCGGGGAGCAGGTGGCCCTTTTCCTGCTGTTACATGGCAGCTGATCTGCCTCCTGCCAGCCTTCACTTCACTGAGCGGCCCATTTCCTCCCCCACTGGGAGAGTGCTCTCCCCGTCCCTCTTAAGCAAATGGATGTGGGGCTGAGGACGGGTACTCTGGGCAGCCTCTGGGACAGGACAGATGAAGCTCTCAGTGCGGGAGAGGGACATTCATGGCCACGTGTGCCTCCGTTCCTCCATCTGTCAACGTGTCGACAATACAGATCCATTCTCTGGGGGTGTTTTCGAAACCCCCAGCTCCTCAGAGTGGTGTGTAATGCCTGGTGGTAAGAACAGGTGAGGGAATAAATAGCTGTCCCTCTTCTGAGCCGCAACCGGGACGGCCAGGCCCACAGGGCGGCCAGCTGTCGGTGTTTTTCACTCAGGTGCCTCACGGGGGGAACTGAACATCTGTGTGGTTTGTCTCTGTGTCTGTGAAGGTTCAGGAAGACGTGGAAGCTGCAGGCCCTGAAAGAAGGCAAGACGAGCATGCACCCGCCGTATTCTTTGGGACAGCTGGTCCCCGAGAGGCCGAAGCCCACCCCGGTGCTGGTCCCCCTCATCTCCCCGCCGGTGTCCCCCAGCAGCCTGGGGTCGGATAACACCTCGAGGCACAGCCAACCCCAGGCCAGCGGCCCACAGAGCCCGTATGACATCAGCAACAGAGACTACTTCTTCCCCCAGTAGCTGGCTGGCTGGCTGGCGCCTGGCGGGCTGGGGTGTCAGACCTGCTGAAATGTGTGGATGACAAAGCACAAGCAGCTTCTCACCGTCGTTTCAGCTCATCTCAGGTGCGTGGGCCTCTGGCTGCGCGGTCACCGAGGGGCCTCACAGCAGGTTCTACGCTGGGTGAGCACAGGTGTGCCGGCCTGTTCCGAAGGAAGAGGTGGTTGCGTTTTTGAACCCCTCTTCCCCACCGCCCTGCCTGCAGGGGTTCCAATGAACGCGGGCCCCGTGCAGGGAGCGCTGTCGAGTCCCCTGGACACTCGGGTGGGCAGAGCCGGGCGTCTGCGGAGGCCTCGGACCCTGGGCTTCGTATGGACAAGCTGCCGGTCCCCGGCTCACCTGACCTGGCTCCACACGCCGCACCCTCAGGAGGTGGGATGGACTCCAGCCAAAGACACCCCCCACCCTGAGTCGCCTATCTCCTGGCCCACTGCACAGGTTCACCTTCTAGCTCAAACTCTTGCAGCCCAAGTGCCTTTGCAATTCAGTTTCTTCGGTCGCCCAGGCTGGGGGAGCTCCCGACTGCCTTTGCTCTCCTCCCCACGCTGGATACAGCTGAGGGGGCGAGAATAGCATCTCAGGACCAGGTGGTTTGAAGGGGAGTTGCAGTGAGCTCCTCGCTAGCGTTCTGCTCAATGTGAATGTTAACCCTCAGCACCTGCTGAACCCGGAAGCCACTGCACTGACTCAGTTTCCCTCTCTGGATCCCAGGGCTTCAGGAGGAGAGAAGCAGAGAGCAAGTAGGGGCGTGGGGACAGGGTCTGAAAACCACTATTCTCCCTCCTTGCCCTCCGCCCCCCAAAAGGAGAACGGCATTGGGGGAGGGCTCCCGCCATTGCGGGGAGACCAAACTGTTGGACTCAGAATGTTAATTTAGTTTTCACCTGAGCCTGAGTACAGAGGAGGGAACATATTCATGTGAAAAGACAGAAGAACCCGGCAAGAATGTATGTGAATTTGGTCTTTAAAGAAGGGCTGATTGTTTTTCCCTGAGAGCCTGGAAGGTTCCGTGCTAGCTGGGGGTCTGTAGGTAAATAACTCGGGGAGAAGCCGTCACTCTGTTTGGCACAAACCTGAGTCAGATGGGAAAGAGGAGGAGAAAAAAAGAATGATTTCCCCCTCTTAGAGAAGAGACTCTGGTTTCATTCTAAATTTTGTTTTTTGTCTTAAAAGTGAAAGAAATTGCCCGCTTCTCTAATTTAAGGGAAGAGCAGCTGGTGACTGCTCCCCCCGGCGGTGGGGAAGGCCCTGGTGTCCAGCTTCCGGGCTGGTGTTGGGAAGTGGCCTCCCACGGCTACCAAGCAAGGTCAGTTGCCAATCCCCCACCCCTGACAGCCAGGAGCCCTGGTTATCCGGGGGCAGGGGGTTCATGCCCCCCCCCCCATGCCTTCCTTTTCTTCTTTAGTTCCTTGAATGTGATTCAGTTCAGCTAAATGTCTAGCCGTGACTCTGAGACTCTCCCACTTCAGCTCACTTTTCTGTCCGGGCTTTGGAAGTTCAGTGATGAGAGGGGTTCCCCAGACAAGTGCCCTCCAGCAGCACGGGGTGTCCCGGAATGAGGCTGTGATTCAAATCTGTTGGGTAACCGAGGACCAAAAATTTTACCAACCACACAACCTGTTCTAGGAGCCGGCCCTTTCGGAAAAACAGCCACCAGCACCAGGCAGGTGGCAAAGGATGACCGTGACCATGCCTTGTGTTTGCTGTTTGCTGGGTTCACACTGTTACTATGTTGGGCAAGTGGTGATTTTCATTGCTGGTTTTGACTCACGTTTCAGACCCCAGTGCTGCCTTAGGCAACTCTCGTAAGTTTGACGGAAGGCAGGCAGGTGTGTGTGTGTGTGTGTTTCTTTGAGGACGGCAAAAATGCTGTTAAAGGGAAATATTTAAAAAAAAAAAAAAGAGAGAGAGACTGCCTGAGAAAGGGTAATTCTGCCCACGGTTCTTTAACTCTTTATAAAGGTTTTAACCACAAGCACTATTACCAAAGTCGGAGGAGACGTGCTATGGAAGATGTGAAATCAGATAGCTCATGCTTACCGAGAGCGAGGCAGCTTTCATCTCCAAATTGTTATTGCTTTCATTATTATTGTAACGGAACTGCTTTTTTTTTTTTTTTTAATTGGAGAGGGTTGTTGTTTTTTTCCCCCCCCTTTACATCTTTATAAGCTAGTGTACATGAAGGAAAAGTGTTTGTCTTCTCTGGGTTGTGGGCGTTGCTCAGTGGACACAGGTGTACACCCTAAGCTTTCTCTGACCTCGGATCTGTGGTCCGTGACCCTGTATTTTCAACCCACTGGTCATTCTCACCTGTGTTTCTGCAGCTCACGTGCTGCCTTTTATCCTCAACGATGAATCTCCTCACCCAATACCCGCAGCAATCTGCCACGGCCAGATGCGAAAGGTTGGCATGCTGACAGTCGGTATTACACCTGACAGCTTATCCTTCTGGGTTGGAAAAGTTACAAATACGCTGGTTCAAGGTCTAAAGTGGTCATTAATTCTTGTAGCATTAAGAAACTGTTTGTTCAGATGTCAAGGAGGTAGCATTGGCTGTGTCTACGAAGCCACTGGTAACTCAGAGAGCCCTTTGCTCGGATGGGGCCCAGGCCGCGCTGGTTTCCTGCCAGGCTCCGGGCTCACTCTGTGTTGATGTCCCTGCTCTCCTGGGGAGAGAGGGTGGGGGGCAGGGAACCCCCTCATCAGGTGTGGAATCTGCTGCTGCGACTGGGGCGGGAGTCCACCTGGTGGCGAACAGAGCCCAGCGGACCGGGCGGGTGTGATCGGGGTGTGTGGGTCTCCTGCAGAACGTTCAGGAATATCTTGCCCTGCTGCTGGGTGCTGAGCTGTACTGCCCCCTCTAAGGTTGACTCCGCTGGGGAGGAAGCTGGCATCCAGCTCCAGGTGGAGTGAGTGAGAAATTTACCTGAATTTGGAGAAGCAGGGGCAACTGTTGGTCTTTCAGACCATGAGGACGGAGCCCAGCTTTCCCATGTGGGCAGCCGGGCTGTGACTGGGAGGCCTCCTGGCTCGGGTCCTGCCAGCATCATGTGCGCTCTGGTGCTGGCGCAGGTGTGTTTCCATGGCAACCTTAGTGATTTTTGTATTTGCTAATTTTTATTTTATTTTTTTCAATTACGGCTGGCATTCAATATTATTTTGCAGCCTTAATGATTATTAAGGAACACTGTCAGTTTTATGAACATATGCTCGAACCAAGATCTGCTTTAGAAGGAATGGATTGGAACAGCATGTAGCAAGGCTGTTAATTAATAGAGAAACCATCTTTGGGTGGCGATCACACAACTGTTAAATACCTCAACTTTTCTTTTGGAGATGAGAATAATAGTTTTAAGTTTTTATTTTTTTACTTAATTACCTAAAAGCAAATACCAAAGGCTGATGTCTGTATATGGGGCAAAGGGTCAGTATAATATGTATTTCAATGTGTGTGTGTGTGTTTATCAGCTATTTTGCATTTAAAGTGAAAATTGTGTTTGAAATAAATGATTTCTAAAACTGTGCTTGGGATGTAATTGTGCGTTGGGCACCTGGGTCCTTGAAAGGAAAGCTTGGCCTGATGAATGAGGGGACAGGAGTGAGAGAAGACGGGTGTAAAATGAAAGTGGAACCCTTTCTGGGCGGGCCTCCCCTTCATGCAGGATGAAATCACCTCTGGAAAAGATCAGATTAGTTTAAAGAAATAAATAGCAGTTTCTCGAAAGACACTAATTATGAAAGTGTTTCCCAAAATGAGTCCTGGGGTTTCTGGAAGGGGCGTGGGTGCCATGCTCACCGGCACTCCCAGCTGCTGGGCGGGCGGGAGGGACAGGAAGGGCCATTATTCACCAGAAGACTGTTTATTGGACGGGGGTGTTAGCGGCATCACGAGGCAACGCTGCGTCTTGATCCTCAGGTACATAAAGAGTTCCCTGCTGTGAAGGGCCTCAGGAAATTCGTGGACCACAGCCGTCCCACCTACACGCTCTAGACAGGAAAGCCATCGAGGGAGCGCTTTGTGGATAAGAGGAGCTGTGTCAACAGCTCAGGGCTCCGGGGGAGAAACTGCAGGGAAGCGTCGACACTGTAACTCAGACTGAAAGTTGAAGTGTGGGGTCCCACTGTGCGCCCCCCAACCCCACCCGGGGAGAGGAAAGCCCTAGGACCGAGCCTCCACACTGTCTCCTTGAGGATCTTTTTTGAGGTTGGTCCCTGTCTTGCAGAAAGGGAACAGGAAACAGATGTCCCCCGTGGTGGCCAGGCTGTGCGGGCACGCAGAGGGGCGCCGGAGTGGGCGTGAGGAGCAGGAAGTGGAGGCAGGGCCCCCCCGCTTCTCCACAGCATCGCTGTTAGGACGACATGGTGACCATGCTGTTTCCAGGGGAGTCGGGGAGAGCAGATGGCTGTTCTTGATGGTGAGGAACACTCAGTTATTGGCACAGGCACGGAGGAAAGCATTTTCCTTACTGACTGAGGCACAGAGACCACACCTTCCCCATGTCTGTGAGGAGGCCGGACAGGAGGCAGGAAGCCGCGATCCCGCAGCCCAAGGTGCGCTGTTTGCCTGAAACTGCTGTGCCCCGGGGCAGCCCCAGGCAGGATGGAGGCCAGGTGGGCAGGCTGTGCGCCCTGTTGCTGAGACCAGCGGTTGCCAACTGGTGGGCCATGGACCACTGGTGGCCCGTGAGGTCCGAAAGGTTGGCGACCGCTGGCTTGGACGGTCCTGGGCAATGGCAGCGAGCCCGGCCCCATCCCTCAAATGCTGACCAACCCCCAGTTTCTTTGGGGAAGTTCCTGTCTTCTGCACGTTTATGTCGCTTAAAAAACAGCAAAACCAAGTAACAGCAAAACCTATTTCATACCAGCAGCTGGAGGTGACAGTCCGAAACATGAGTGAAACCCAGTTTTGTTTTGTTTTTTTCAGTAAAATCATGACACATTTAACCAGGGATGCTTCACTGAAGCAAACAGCTGCACCCCTGGCCCCACGGGTTACCCAGAAACCCACAGAACCCTTTTGGGTAGAGATGTTCCTGGAAAATTAGCTGAAAAGAATGGCTACCATTTGTGGCCCCTCCACTGGGGGCCTTACCAACAGGATGCCCTTTCTCATCCTAATGACGCTGCAAGGTGTTCTCCCCTGTTAGCAGGTGAGGTCCCTGTGTTGGTAAGGACAGTGGCTCTAGATGCCCGGGAGCCTGGGTCTGCCTGGCTCCAAAGCTGGGGCTCATTGCCCTGCCATGCGGCCCCTCTGGTGACTACCGGGGTGAGTCTCTCTCTCCGACCCCTTTCCTGGGCCAGGTGCCCTCACACTACAAGGGGTAGGGGCCTGGTCCACTCCCCCTGGAAGGGAGATGGGCCTCCTTTCCTGTCAGCGTGGGAAGGGGCTGGCACCTGAGCCCACGCAGGCTTGTCCCAGGGCTCCCATGGGTGGCCCGAGGCAGCCAGGCCCCAGCGCTGCTCACGTAACAGCAGCCACAAAGAAGGTGGGTCGCCAAGGGAGGGACACAACCAGTTCCTGATACTCAATGATCCTAGATCAGAACCCAACCGCTTCCCCTCCAGCTCCATCGGCCCGCACGGGCTCTGCGTGAACGACGGGGTTTTCTCCTGCTGCTTCCCTTAACAGATTTCCTGGACATCCTCAAATTGTGCTTTAGTTATGGTAGGCAGACCTCGCCCCACCCACTCCCTCTGAAGGGATGAGCGGTCACCACACGAAGTGCTGGTGTTCCCTGGGCGGTGAGAGTCCTTCAAGGAATGCTGACTGAACCCCGGTGCTGGCTGTGGGGGCACAAGAGGATCTGACCGCTTCCTCAGGAGGCTGGCGGGCCGTCCAGCCAGCACAGTTACGTGCAAATGCTGTCGCTGGGAGCAGATGACTGATCTGCTCTAGGGAGTCAGGGAAGGAAGGGGTAGAAACAGGGAGGGTGAAGATGGAGGAGGAGGGTTCCGGGGGGAGGGTGCTGCACAGGGAGAGGCGGGGAGAGGGCTGCTGGGGGGGGGGGGGAGGGGAGGGAGGCCCGCCTTGGACATGGACCATGTTGCGCAACTTTGCGATATTCTGAGAGCATTAGGAAGTCACTGGAGACCGCATTTGCTCCTCCTTTTTTCTTTTATGCCTATTTATATTTTTTTCATGAGGGTGCATGTTTTCACAATTACTGAAGGCTTTTTATTAAACAAGTATAATCCTATTTTGGAATAGTTCAATCATGTTGTGCTGACTGTAAAAATTGTTTACTAAAAAGTGCAAGCAGTTGGTGGGGATCATAGATAAGGCGAATTGGCCAGGAGGCAGTAATTGTTGAAGCTGGCACAGAATGATTCATTCTATTAATCTTGAAAAAGCCTTGACATTCTCCAGTTTAAAGAGTGCAAGGATTTTAGGGGAATGTTTCACTTGCACAAGTACCATTTAACATAATACAAAAGGAATGGAAACACCTTCTTTTCCCCTCTTTAATTCTGAGACTTTGTTTTTTAGTTTATCTTTATTGTGGAAAGTATTGCAGATATCCCCCTTTCTCCCCCTTTGACCTCTTCTAGCCTGCACCTGCTCCCTAAACACACCTGTCTTCTTCTATCATGTAAACCACGCTTCTCACTGATCAACCACACACTGATATCTTTTTAAAAAAAATATATTTCATTGATTTTTTTACAGGGAGGGAGGGAGAGGGGATAGAGAGTTAGAAACATCGATGAGAGAGAAACATCGATCAGCTGCCTCTTGCACACACCCTACTGGGGATGTGTCCGCAACCAAGGTACATGCCCTTGACCGGAATCGAACCTGAGACCTTTCAGTCCGCAGTCCGACGCTCTATCCACTGAGCCAAACCGGTTAGGGCCACACTGATATCTTGATGAACTCATTGGCTTTA